ATAATAATAATAATAATAATAATAATAATAATAATAATAATAATAATAATAATAATAATAATAATAATAATAATAATAATAATAATAATAATAATAATTTATTAAGGGAAGAAAAGCACTAAATAGCGAAGCAGGATCTAATTATATAATGCGCTCTAGTCTTAGCCTAGAAAATATAACGCTATCTCCTAAAAGCAAGAAGAAAGATAATAGGGGCAGAAAAGGGGGTAATTTATAGCACTCAATAGGATCTCTATAACTAAGGTACCTCTAATAGTCTAAGGTAGTTTATATAAGAGCTCTTATTATAATTAAATAAATAGAGTCATTAAAACTCTCGCATTTATATATACTATTTTATTAACGGAAGAAAAGCACTAAATAGCGAAGTAAGATCTAATTATATAAAGCGCTCTAATCTCGGCCTAGAAAACGTAGCGCTATCTCCTAAAAGTAAGGAGAAAGATAATAAAGGCAAAAAAAGGGGGGGTAACTTATAATACTTAATAGGATCTCCGCGATTAAGGCACCTCTATTATCTTTCTCTTTACTTCTAGGAGATAGCGCTACGTTTTCTAGGCTAAGACTAAAGCGCTTTATATAATTAGATCTTACTTCGCTATTTAGTGCTTTTCTTCCCTTAATAAAATATATACCTTATTTATCTAGCTTATATTATCTTTACTTATTATATTTTCTTCTATTAAGCTATTATTATTAAAGCTAGTACTCTTTCCTTAAAAAAATAATATATTTAATATTAATAAGCTAATTAACTCTTATTTATTAACGCTAGCCTTATTAATTATACCTTATATTTATAATACCCCGTTCTTTTAAAGTATTATATAATAAATAAGTAATTTAAACTTTAAGGACTAACCTTTAAATAAAAGTTAGTTAAGCTATTAATATTAAATATATTATAAGAAAATAAAAGTAAGATTATATAATTATAATACTTATATATATATATATATATATAATATAAATATACTCCCTTTAAGCTTATATAATTAATAATTAATTTAAGTTAAGTATAACTTAAATATAATAAAAATAACTATAGCTATATAATATAAGATATACCTTACTTACTTTAAATACTAAAAATAATAAAGTAAATAACTTATTTTATTTTATATTATAGCTTAATAGAGAGAAAACTAAGAAAGCAGGCTCAGAGCCAGCAGAGGCTCAGAGAGGTACGGGAGAAAGCATAGCGAAACGACCGGACCTACGCTATATCGATAAGATACTCTGGGGTAGCCCGCCTACCCTATACCCCCGGCGCCCAGAATACGGCGCGTAGACCGCAGAGCTCCAGG